CACGACGCTACAGACCAAAGTGAATACACTTCACTATTCTTGTTCAAACTGTGACAGAACTCCTAATTTGACTTTTGGGGACAGTGTTATTGCAATAAGAGATGACAGAGGGTAAACTGTAAACAAAACTCTGGATTAGAGTCAAAGAACTGGACATACATGAAGCCAGAGTAACAAGATAAAAAACTGTCACAACAATAAAATTCTCTCCTGTAGAGAAAAAGAAAATAAGAGCCTGTGTTTGAAGTTAAATCATGAAGGCAAGACACAGCTCTGTACATCAGTGTCCTGCTACTTCACAAATGCTGAACAGCATGTGACTACATGTAGAGAGTTGTATTCCAACACCGATGCAATGTGTGTCCATGAGACACAAATCCTCTTTCCTCTTGCTCTGTTAATAGTTATTTGACAGGAAAATACCCATCTAATAATATAAATGATTCAAAACATGTGGTCAGAGTGTAAAGTTACAAATCATAACCCTTGCTAAGATGCGTTAATCTAGACAGAGTCAAGCTACTGAAATAAGAAATTACTCTGAAAATGCTGAAATCTGTTTCCTCATATTCCCCATCTCTTACCGTGGGAAGCTGGTTGGATCGTTTCAGAAGCTTCATCATCACTCTGCTGTACCCTCTGTCATGTCTTGAAGATGATGATGACATCACCTCCCAGAGGCTCTCGTCCTTGTCTGAAGTCACAACATGTGAGTTAATACCAGCTAGCTCCATTTACTAAAGTGAAAATATTTCAAGTTTAATAATACTGTTCATTTCACAAACAAACGTGTGTGTGATACTCCTACTGTTGTTGGCTGTGGATTTCAGGTATCCATCCAGTGGAGGAAGAATACTGGTGTAGCAGGGCTGCATGGTCTCCAACGGAATGTGGGACGACCAGTCTTCCAGGGCATCCAGGGCTGCGTCGGCCAAAGGAACATGGCTGAGACCCAATTTCAGAGCTGCCTAGACACATACACACACAAACGCACACACACCCTAAGACATCGGGTAGCAAACAGCCTAAACTCTACAAAGAATCTATCCACTAAACTAGACGGCATTCAGAGTACGCAAACCTCCACCGACACAGCTCAGTTTCCCAACCACCAAAATGTCACGATTGCACTGTGGGCTCAAAAATATCATTACAGTTCAGTGATAACATCTGAAGTCTGCTGTGAACAAACCAACAAACCCCAGTAAAAACATGACCTCCTTGGTGCAGGTAACAAGTGGTTTCCTGTCGTTTCCCAGATGTGCTGCCCCAGATTAACTCAGGTAGCTCTTCATCTACAGCATTCAGCATCTTCCAAATGTTTTAATTTGATTATCTTAAACTGAATACTTTTCATGTATTCATTATTTAAAAGTAAACACAACAGATTTTTTTTATTTTAAACTGAACTGTAGGTGTTTAGGCTGGACCTGTCACCCATTTATCCGTCAGTGTTATCAAACTCTTTCAGCAATTTATTCATTTTAGTTATTTCAGTTGTTTAATCTAGCCACAGGGGTTTCAAGCCAGTGACTTCTGTGCCAGTCCCAAGCCCGGACAAATAGAGAGGGTTGCGTCAGAAAGGGCATCTGGCATAAAAACATGCCAATCATCAGTGTGAATTCCATAACAGATCGGTCGAGGCCCGGGTTAACAACGACCACCACCAGTGCTGTTGACCTACATGGTGCTGGCGGAAATTGGACTACTGTTGGTCGAAGAAGGAGAAGAGGCAGAAGGATTCGTAGACAGAGAGAGAAGAGGGAAGGCAGGAGTATAGGTCTGAGAATAGGGACTCTTAATGTTGGCACAATGACAGGGAAAGGTAGAGAGCCGGCAGACATGATGGAGAGAAGGAAGGTAGATATACTGTGTGTGCAGGAGACCAGGTGGAAGGGTAGCAAAGCGCGTAGCATTGGAGGGGGATACAAACTGTTTTATTATGGTGTGGACAGGAAGAGAAATGGGGTAGGAGTGATCCTGAAGGAGGAGCTCGTAAGGAATGTTTTAGAGGTGAAAAGAGTGTCAGACAGGGTGATCAGTTTGAAGTTGGAAATTGAAGGGGTAATGTTGAATGTAGTCAGTGGTTATGCTCCACAAGTAGGGTGTGAGTTAGAAGAGAAGGAGAGATTCTGGAGTGAGTTAGATGAGGTGATGGAGAGTATTCCCAGAGGGGAGAGAGTGGTGATTGGGGCAGACTTCAATGGGCACGTTGGTGAGGGGAACAAAGGTGATGAGGAGGTGATGGGCAGGTTTGGTGTTAAGGGAAGGAACCTAGAAGGACAGATGGTGGTGGACTTTGCTAAGAGGATGGAAATGGCTGTAGTTAACACCTATTTCCAGAAGAGGGAGGAACATAGAGTTACATATAAGAGTGGAGGTAGGAGTACGCAGGTAGACCACATTCTATGTAGACGAGGCAATCTGAGAGAGATTAGTGACGGCAAAGTGGTGGTAGGAGAAAGTGTAGCCAGACAACATCGAATGGTGATGTGTAGGATGACTCTGGTGGTCAGGAAGAAGAGGAGAGGAAAGACAGAAAAAAGACCAAGTGGTGGAAGTTGCAAAAGAAAGAATGTCGTGAGGAATTCAGACAGAAGTTGAGACAGGCTTTGGGTGGTCAGGAAGAACTTCCAGATGACTGGGAAACTACAGCAGAAGTGATCAAGGAGACAGGTAGGAAGGTGCTAGGTGTGCCATCT